TCCTCAGGGATTTTTCTCTTTGCTTACTGCATCTACCAGCCAGAGCACAGAGGTTTCTGTCTGCGGACAGAGCTCTGAGGTCCGGCCAGAGTAGGAGTCTGATGGGCTCTGTCACTGCCGAACTGTCTCTGGGCCCTGACTGGCAGCTCCTCGGAAGGTCAGACTTCCCTATCGGAGCTTACTAGAAGACTTTCTGCTTTGAGGAATCGTCAAAAGAGGAGGACAGGGTTGTGTTTGGTTTGCTCAGAGCAGGGCTGTCAGTTTCTCCCACTATTAGTCTTCTGAAAACCAAACAAAAAAGGGAAGGAAACCTCAGATGTTTTCTACCCAGGTACCAAAAGAAACAAGTAAAAGCCTTCGCACCACAGCTTGCCATGCCAGGGCATGGACTCATCTACGCTGGGTGCTGGGCAGACACGGGGCTGTCTCCCTCCTGGGCCACGGCTCGGTCTAACTGTGTTTGAGGTGAACATTTCAAATCCACTTGATTACGCCTAAAACATAAGCACGGATTTCAGACTTTTGGGGAACGCATAGTTAACATGAAAAGACAGCTAGAGGACAAGTCTTACGGCAAAAATATCGTTTCCGCTGGTGAATTAACCTGTCCGGCAGGCTTGGAAGCAGACGGACGTACAGACGGGCTCTGCTCTCCCCTCCGGCGAGGACGTGCTGGGATGGCCCCGGGAAGGGGGGTGCCCACCACACGGCTGGCGCCGCTTTGGTGGAAGCGCAGTGATCGTCACTGCAGGGTGACAGCTTTACTCCAAGGCTTTTGGCTTTACATATCTGTTTCCCAGCACGTTGCTTTATTCAGGCTTTCTCTGTCAGACTGGCTGGGCGAAGAAGAGAGTCTCGAAATTAGTCTGCTTCGTGGAAAAAGTTCCCTTTGCTTTTTTTAATTAAGAAGAAGGTAAGAGTTTACGAGCATTTTCCCTTTCACCGAAATCGCTGAATCACGTTCCGGTTCCTAGTATTTCACTCTCTGTAATCTGTTTGAGTCATTCCGGTTTCATCCTTGAAGTGATTTACTGAGCTTGTTTATCAAAAAGGCAATCAGCCGTGTTTCGTACAAGACGCCCCGAGCCCTGCCACGCAGACCTGGAGATTCCCTTTGCGAGGCGGGCTCAGACACACAGGCACATCGCGGTGGCTGAACAGGTTACTCTGCGCTAAGGAGCCGCAGTAAATCACCCTTTGCATGATCGTAACTCCAGGCGAGGTGGGCACGTTAACGTAAACATGATGGAGGAACGTAACCTAGGGCATCTGCCACCAGCAGAGAACACGCAGCGACTCAGGGACTGTAGCACAGGGAATTGCCAAAGCCGCAATAATTCGGCCGTGAATCTCCATCCCTGGGTTAATTCGGTGTGACTCCTGCGTCCAGACTCCAGCCTTCGCCCATATGACAGATTCCTTGTTGTTCTGCACTTGTACCGTCATTTATCGCAAAACAGAGTGCAAAGTGGGCGTGCAGCGTTACGAAGGCATAAACATTTTTTCCCGATGTCTTTGCTTTTAGCTCAGCCCACTCGTTAGATTTAGATTCTGTCGCCCCTTTCTGAACTCACCGGTTTTGTTTTGGGTCAAACCCTTTCATTCTGTGTCATTATCCGTACTATTCCCTGCTGACGCGTGCAGCCCACGGCCCGTGGGGAGCTCGAAGCAGCAGTTCAGCTCTTTAAAAGCCGTTCCACGTGGCACTGAATCATCTCTTGCCGTGGGTTTCACCCAGGCCAGACACGGGCAGGTTCTGACCTCCTGGCCAGAGGACGTGACACTGCATTTGTGCCAGCTTCGGACCAGGCCTTGGCTGTCCCCCGCTGTGAGCAAAGTCATTCTCGTGCCGTTACACTGCAAGTCTCTTGATGCAGCTGTTTTGCAATCTTGCTGTTTTGTTTTCGGTTTTGTTTTTTTTTTCTAGAAAACTAGAAGAATTACGCCTGATCAAAGTCACTTCTATTTTTGACTAAAGCTGTCCCAAAGGGAGGGAGGTATTCTGAGGGAGATGCACAGGAACATTGGCTTGGACTGACACTGTCTGTCCATTTCCTCCCACAGGCAAGCTCTCAAGTCATAAACCTGTCTCACTCCATCATATTTTCAGCTCCCGGGTTTTCCTCTAGCCCTGTACATTTTCCATTTCATGGTTTGACAGACCTCTTTGAACCCATGCTCATGAGAACTGCACAGAGATTTTCTTTGTTGCTGTTTGCTCCTGTGTTGTTGTTATTTGGAGACAAGATTAGATTTCTTGCTAATGTTGATTTTGAAGTTACGATCTGATTTTCTCCCAAGTGAGGTTTGTAGCCCTTTACATCTGGTCTGCACACAACTGAAAGGGGTTTATGTAGCGGTTAAACCACAGATGAATACAGATGGGGAGCAGAGATCTCCAGGAGGACACTTGTCTTCTACAGGTTGTTGGGGTTTTTTTCCCCCACATGAAGTAGTCACTGTTAAAAGCCCACAGTATCAGCCTCTGATTTTGGTTCGGTGATGCTGAATTCTACTCTGTTTATGAGCAGACAGAAACAGTGCAGAATTTCATGCTGAACAAGACACCTGCGTGCGCCAGGTTCGAGAAGGTGTTGTCTGCTGGTGAGGGTTAATGCCCTGACTATGCCTCGGCTGTCTTCTGCCTCTGTCCGTGCTACATGAGCTGTGTCCCTCGGGACAAAGGGTCTGGACAGTGCCTGGACCCTCTGGCTATACTGAGGTCACAGGTTTATATGAGTCCCTGACCTCTGCTCGCTCTGAGCCTGGGGCCAGTTAGTTTTGAAAAGCAGCATGACTTGCTGTGGTCAGGAATCTGTCGGACCTTATAATAACTCCTGTCCCACCTCTCTCCGCGGGACAGGATCCGGGTGAAAAGGGGATGTGGCACCTGTCCCCAGCCCCAGGATGAGCTGGGTGTGTGACAGTGGCCCAAAAGGGGCTGAAGGCAGCGTTCCAGTGGGCCGGGCACGCTGACGAGAACCTAAAGCAAGGACGATGCTGGTGCAAGGGCTGCGTGTGAAGGGACGAAGGGATGAAGGGGAGGGGGCAGGCGGCTTGTGGTGTGGGCACAGGGCTTGCTGAAGTGGGAAACCAGCACATGGCGGCAGAGGGGCCACCATCAGCACCGACAGGGGTTGGGCGGGAGGCGTGCAGACCCCCGCCCTCTGGGGCCTCCCCTCGCGTATCTGAGACAGGGCAGTGGGCCCGAGAGGCTGATCCACCTCCTCTGTTCTGTGTTGAGGAGACTCTCCAGTGGAGTGACAGCAGCTGAGTTCCGCAATCACCCTGTCGAGCCCGTTCTGCCTCTCTGTGGCTTCTGTTTTGCTTTACTTTTGGAAAACTGTCTGCTCGTGTACGAAATACTACATACCCGTTGCAGGTTTTCAAGCTCCCCTAGCAGTGTGTTAGTACCTCTGTAGAGGCTTGGCTAAAACCAGGAGTGACGGATTCTAATGTAGAGCAGGCACAGAAGGTTTGTGCTGTTTGCTCGCTTCTATTTCAGCCAGCCTGGCATAAAATCCTGCAGCTGAGAGTCAAGTGATGTAATCTTTACAGTCTCATCAAAGCCATGGATACAGTTGATTGCATGCAGCAGGGAAGCGATGCTAAGCTTGGTTAAATGTGCTCACTTGTTTTCATTATCC